GAAAGAAGAGTGGTGCCAAGGGGCAGCCAGGGTTGGGAGGGGTTAACGGGGAGGGCTTGGAGCTGCCAGCCCTGGTGAGCATCGGTCAGTGCCCGCCAGCTCTGTCTCCCTCGCCCAGTGGCTGTTCACAGGTTAATCTCTTGCTGGGGACAAGCTTTCCTTCCTTGTCTTGGGCCAGCATGCTGCAGGGGGGTGTGCCCAGCGGCCAGGACCCTTGGGGTATTCATCTCTGCCTTTACTCCCTAGATTTCCTCGAGGATGAGGAGGAGGAGGAGGAGGAGGAAGGAGGCCCACCTCTGAGAGGTGTTGGAAGGCAATGCTGGATTAAAAAGAAGGCAGTGTCCCTGGGAGCTGCTGGCTCTGCATGACCTGCAGATTACGGAGACGACCTGGACTATTACAGCTTTCGCCGCAAGCAGGGTCAGGTCCGGGACGAGGCGAGCACGCCTGGGCAGCCGGGAAGATGGAGCACGTCCCGCCAGGCCAGTGCCAGCCCGACGGCCGTCCCCGAGGACCTCCAAGGCGATGAGGACGTGGGCCTCGTGCCGGAGCAGGTCCATGGGCGGGTGCTCAGTTGGTTACCCCAGGATCCTGGTGAGGGTGAGGAAGATGAACTGGGGCTGCCAGCATCTTCGAAGCGTGCCGGAGCTCTGAGCCTCCAAACCCGCCTCTCTGTTTCCATCTTTGGTGGCAAAGCCAAAACGCCGGGTCCCAGCAAGCCTGCAGCACCCAGGGAGGACAAAAAGCCCCGGAAAGCCCAGGAGAAGATCTATGTGACCAGGCTGCAGCCGGGAAAGCGCAAAGCCCCGGCCCAGGAGCCGGTCTTTCCTGGCATCTTCCTTTACCCAAAACCTCTGAAGAAAGTCCATCTTCGCTCCAGGACCCCTCAGAAGCATCCCATCGCCTCCAGCAAGCTCCGTGCCGTCCCTGGCCACCGGACCCCCTGGCTCCTGAGCAACATCTCCAAGGAGAGGGACCCTGCCAGGCGGAAGAGCCTGCGGGCAGGTGGCGGGAGGTGGGAACGTCCATCCAAGCTGGGGACCGAGCGGCAGGCGCTGCCCAGCCTCCTCGCCCTGGGGACCGAAGGACTCTTCAGTAGGGAGACCCATGAGGACACGACCCCTGCCCCAGGCAGGACAGCGGCCACCACCGATTACAACTCCTCCGAGGCGACCCACTCGGAGGGGACACGGGTGACATCCTTTCTGAAGATGTCAGAAACGACGGCATCCCAGCAGGAGGAGAGAAAGGGCCAGGAGGAAGAGGAGGAGGAGGAAGAAGAGGTGTCGGACTACAGCTACGAGACCGGGGAGCTGCAGCAGAGCTGGCTGGAGGACTCCATCAACTGGCAGAGGACGTTCAGTGTCAGCTCGGTGGACTTCGAGCTCCTGCGCTCCGACTGGAACGACCTGCGCTGCAACGTGTCGGGCAACCTGCAGCTGAGTGAGAGTGAGGTCGTCGACGTGGTGGCGCAGTACATGGAGAAGCTCAACGAGAAGAACGGAGGGTAAGGAGGGAGCGGGGCACAGGTGTGAGGTTGGGGGGACATGCCTTCGCCCCGCTCGGCCTCTTGGGGCCAGGTGAGCTGGATGGTGGGTTCAGGCCAACCCCTCGAGCAAGGGAGCTGCGGGGAGCAGAGCTCACGGTGATGGTGCTTTCAAGTGCTTCTCCTTTCCGCGTAGCATCTACACCCTCCTGAGGATCGTCAATGTGGAGAAGCGTCGGGACACGGCCCGGGGGAACCGCTACCTGCTGGAGCTGGAGCTGGCGGAGCGGGGCCAGCGGACGGTGCGGCTCTCCGAGTACGTCTACGTCCTCTTGCACCAGGGCAAGCAGGACGACAGCGCTGAGGCCAACCCCGAAGGGCCAGCCCTGGGGGCCACTGAGCCCCAGCCGAGCACCTGGAGCATCCTCTATGGAAGACCCGTCCTGTGCCGGCCCCTGCGGCTCAGCTGGAAGCAGGATGTCATGGTGCACTTCGTGGTACCTGGTAGGTGACAGCAGGACGCGTCTCTCCAGGGTCTCTGCAGCTCCCTCTGCTCTCAGCATCCTCTGGCGGGAGGAAGGCAACCCCTTTGCTCCCCGGTTGCATCCTCCAGGCTGGCCCAAGGGGGGATGAGGTTCTCTCTTCTCATGAGATGCTGAGGTTATCGCTTCTCATCAGAAGGTGTGTTGGTTTGGTTGGGGAAGGGGGTGCTCTTGGGACCCGCGTGGTGAGCCTGAGGGACATTTGAGGGACATTTGTGGCTGTGTCTGGCAGTGAAGAACCAAGCCCGCTGGGTCCAGCAGTTCATCTCGGACATGGCCCGCCTGTACGGGGCTACGAAGGACGCCAACTTCAATGTCATCCTGGTGGACTTTGACAGCGACGACATGGATGTGGAGAAAGCCCTGCGGGATGCCCGACTGCCCCGGTAAGCCACCCCGCACGAGCTGCAGGTCCCACCCTGGGAGGCGGCCCAGGGGGGTCTGCGGGGCTCCTCGTGGTGGGACGGGCCATCCTGGTGGTGCTCACACAACCTGCCGCTCCTTCCCCAGCCCGGCACGGGTCTCTGCCTCGCTGTCCCTCCCCTCCTCCTCCTTTTTGGCTGTTCAAGCTTGTTTCTCACGTGGAGGAGACAGGGATGCAGAAACCTCCTCTGCCTCCGTGGGGGGGCCCTCGGCATGAGTTGTAGGCCCCTGACCCCCGTCCTGAGAAGGTCCCCTCTCCTCGCTGATGGTCCCTTTCCCCCTCTTGGCTGCGTCCCTTTCGGTCACCAGCACTAACCCCCTGTCCTCTCTCCTCAGCTACCAGTACCTGCGGCGCACGGGGAACTTCGAGCGCTCGGCTGGGCTGCAGGCTGGGGGGGGCACACGGGGAACTTCGAGCGCTCGGCTGGGCTGCAGGCTGGCGTGGACACGGTCGAGGTGAGCCGGTGGAGAGGAACCAGCTCTTGCCTTGGCTTCTCTCCTGGAGCTTTCACCCTGATCCTCCCGCTTGTCCGTCCCCTCCCGTAGGACGGGCACAGCATCGTGTTCCTCTGCGACCTGCACATCCATTTCCCCCCCAATATCCTGGACAGCATCCGGAAGC